GTGCGTATAATGATTACATTTGTACTGATGCATTCTATACAAACAATATAGTTAGTGCTTATCGATAAGAAATTTTTGTTCATAAAGTCTTAGCCCAGAGCAAGAGTCAGTTAAATGATGGTGCGTGAAATTTTCAAAACGAAACTTCGTGTTTCCCTGAGGTTTACGATCTCCTGTGACCTCACAGATCATGGACGTATAGAAAAAGTCGGACAGAGTCCCGCTATGAAAAAACTGTGTCACTCATAGTCGGCCAGCTCCCTGTGTGTACAAGCCGGTACGCACACTTAAACAGATTAGTAGGCCATAACGCACGCAAACATCAAGACAGTGAGACACGTTACGTAGCAGTATTGACCAAAAGAAAAAATATCCAGGAATCACGTTTTATAAGTAAATGAATAATTCAATCACTTATTTCTAGATTTCATACATTAAAATTAATCAGCATTCGTTAGAACAAAAGAATTCATTATGAGCCCAGTGTTGCCAATTTTCACGTGTGCTAATTACCCGAAACAAAGGAAATTTAATTTATTTAATAGTTACTACTCGGTATACTATTTCATATTCTTTTACTAAATTTTCTAAGGAAAATGGAGTATGGGGAAAGGATTGCATTTAAATAATTATAAATTGTAATGGTAAAAATAAAGGAAACACAAATATATTCTCATAAAAATTATAGAAAAGTTTGTTGGCAATTAAAGCATTTTTTAAACTTAGAATCTGAACATACTTTAGAATAGAGCTGAAAATAGTAAAATTTCGAACAATTTTTTTTTAAATTTATTGACTGTGTTTTGAGGGTATAAATGTGGGTAACTTGGCAACCCCAAAATTCATTCACACCCAGAGATGCCGCCATTTCGGTGCCTCAGTTTTGTGTTAGGAGAGTTCCGTCCGACTTTTTTTATACGTCCATGTCACAGATATAAACCTACTTTTACTCGTTAGGTGTAGGTAATGATACAATTACTCCTTTTAAGATGCACGTTTTCATTTAAAAAAATTTTTGCATGTAGTGTAGGTGATGTAGGTACAACGTTTCTAATATTGTCAATGTGTAAAATCTATGTTAATGGTCGTTATTTCTAAATCCGCTGCCGCTTTGAAGTTTTGACATAACGTTGCATTCAAATACGTGTTTAATTATAAGATTCACAGCACAGCGTCATTACGGCAATTGAAATCCACGCGGTTGAGACTTGAGCCTATTCCTCTTCTATCTTCTATTGAGATTTATATTTTTTTCAAAAACTAAGTTAAGGTCGATTTAGCATGCACCCCTTTGACAGCAACGGTTACGTTTAAACCTCACCCTGAAACACGATCAGTGACACTACCAGCCCCTACCACGTAGTGTGATATGATAACTATTATAAACAGTGTTGTATGTCCATTGCAGGTAAATATTTATATCATAATAATTTTTTTTGATCTATCTGTTCGACTCCGATTTTAAAATAAAAACCCATTAAGTGCCAGTTGGTACTGTGTAGGAAAGTAGGTGTTTATCATTATTTTCACATTGTTATTTCTATTGAATAAATGTAGTGCTATTGACACTTTATACTGTGACGCTTGTGCACCATGATTAATGGCAGTACAGAGAAATTGAGCAAATAATTATCTTGAACATTAAACAAACAATAATAATAATAATTAATAATTTTGATTTCCACCTATGTAATTCTTTTCTAAGTACTTATTTCTCTTGACAGGTTGTCAATAAAATATTAATAAAATATATAATCTTATTAATAATGACATACCACGGTAACATAAATTAGCCAGCGGCGAGCGGTTTAGTTGATCTGTCGCATAAATCTTAAGATGAAAGGAAATAGAGCGAGTAAGGTGAAGAAAATAAAGCCATAGGGTTATTTTGAACCTGACTTTAGAATATTGAGAACAGTGTTAATAACAATTATCACTCAGAGAAAATTTCATTTCCATAGGATAGAAGATGATTGATAGGATTCATACAGAAATACATAGCGCCAACTACATAATGGAATAATATTTTTGGACATCTAACACACAACGCCATCTAGTTTCAAACTAAGCAGACCTTGTATATAGAATAATTAAATACTTTTTTTTGGAAGTACATACATATTCTATACTATTATTATTCTTTACCCTATTTATCCAAACTCCGAAACAAATATTTGCAGATCATACAAACATTAGGTTCGAATGAATGAATTAGTTAGTTCCATACACTACATTTTTTTTTCTGTATGTATATGTTGCGTATGAGTGCCATCTATCACTGTCTAGGATATTGACAAAGTATACAAAATCTGAACTTAGCTCACCGTACAATAAAAATAAACAAACTAGCGATCCGCCCCCGACTTCGCACGGATGCAATGTAGATACTACTAATATTAGTAATGTAGTGTCAGTGCGGAGTAATTAATTATACTATTATTTACTATGATACGACTATACTACAGGACATTTTTATATTATTATGCAACATTTACAGGCCTACTACTACTACTACTGCACGGTGATCCTCAGGATAACCGTACAGTACATATTTACCGGCTGTTGCTGTTGGTATAGGATTTGTTTCAAGTGTTCCTTCTCTTTGCATTTCTGTTGTTCTGCGTAGTTTGCTTCCTTAGTCTGCTCTTACACCCACGGGATGAATAGAAGTGGTGACACTCATAATTCTTACTCCGTCAACACACAGATGATAAATAGTGTACAAATTAATATTTTCTACATTTTTTTAAGATAAAAATCACAAAAAAAATCACACATACAAAAAAAAAATGAAAGAGAGTGTCTAGAGCACCAAAGAGGAAAAAACTAAATAAGATTTAAAAGTATAAGAATAAGTACCTTGAATAAAAGAAATAGGTAGACTGTATCAGATCCCTCAGACAAGAATTAAGTTCGGCTTAGGGGGAAGAAATGTGATGCTATCGAGTCAAGGGGACCAGATCCTGTACTTGGTAGAGAAGGCAAAAGCGGGGCTTTTGGCCATATAAAAGTGAGAATTCGCGGTCTAGAAGAAGAAGCTGTTGGATACAGTTCATAAAATTGTTTAATACTATGGAACAAAGAATCTCTTCAAAGACACCGAATAAACTGGGACAAAGCTAGTACTAAAATTTCCTTAAAATAAAATGCAATCCCGATATCTTATAACGCAGCTGAAAGAATTAATGAAGCTAGAGCAAGAGTAACTGAAGAATACATAAGAGCTTCTTAAAAGAGAGAGTAATAAGAATAGGAATGTACAAAGGATGTTATCTTGGCAAATTTGAAAATGAATCGATTCTCTGTGATGGATTTTGAGTGCCATGTGCGAGAATCTTGGCATTATTATTTATCCTATACCCCAAAACACAACCTACAAACTCCAACCAGCAGACCTAGACGTTTTTGCACCACTGAAATCTTCATGAAAGTAAGTGTTCAGAAACTCGAAAAACACAAGTAATTTATATTTTATTTGGAAAACACGTGTGGTGACGGATTAAGAATAAAGAGTGTCACCACCCCTATTCATCCCGTGGGTGTCGTAAGAGGCGACTAAGGGAGAAAACTACGCAGGACAACAACACTGCAGAGAGAAGGAAAACTTGAAACAAACCCTATACCAACCCGTCTGGCCAGCGTGGTATAGTAGGCCAAAACCTCCAGTGGACTATTAAAGGCTGTTGATGATGATGATAATAAATATAAGAAAAACACTACACCAATATCTTAAAATATTATTTGTGTTAAGAATGTGTTAAGACTGCCATAATAATACTTTACTAAGAGGCAAACTTAAAAACATTTATAAATCAATTATAATTATTTTATTGGCGTAACCTATTTTAATAGAGGTAGCAAACCAGCTCACTGATGGTCGTAAACTGATGAAAGTGCACTTTTTCCGCATTTTATAATTATTTGTGGATGGTATTATATTTTATGTTTTATATCCAAACTAGACTATAATCGGGACCAATTTTTAACGGATAATAAATTGCGTATAGATAACATTTACTTTTACTCATCTGTAGTGAGCAACCCAGCTAACTGGTCGCTAACCGTCGCAATGACCCTACATAGACTGGAGCACTGTTGGGGTAATATTACACATTTATGGCAAATAGCTCAATTAATTGAATTATACCGCCATTCATTTTATGTTATGAAGTCTCATTTGGTTCCGAACAAAGGTTTGTTTTAAAAGAAATTAATATATTTTTATCCTTGCTAGAAAATCGTAAACTTTTAATACTCAAGTTGATTACTAGCCTACTACCAGTAGGCTTCTGGCTTTACGACAACCATTAGTGTTTTCGAACCTCATCATGCATTTAGTTGGCTATTGTTACACGCTGCTGTCTAGGGTAAGTACTAAAGTCGACAAAACGCATAATACTAGGTGTAAACAGCCCAAAACCTCTTTCGAGTAGTACTAATTTAGTTTGCGAGTAACCGAAACTCTTAGATTATAAATAGTCATGTTTAAATAATCTACACCGAAACTATGAAGAAGTAGGCAATAAAGTCAGTTTTAAGAAATTATTAGAATAAAACTAGAAAATAAATAAACGAATTAGGTATATGTTTTGACTTCCGCTTTAGTGATAACATGAATAAATCTGGTGGTCGTATTTTTTGATTTCATGTAAAATCAATTCGTTGAAACTTTTAACATTAAAAAAAAAATACTTTAAAAGTATCTGAATGTGATTAAACATGCTTAAATTTTAAGCATGTTTGTATTTTAATCATTGTGAAGTTATGTTAATTTATTTATCTTCTTAAGAAATTCCAAAAATAAATACATTAAAAAACTGCTGGAAGCGCCCTCTAAAATCCAATAGTTGTACTATAGAACCCCTCATCCTTTTAGACCAAGTAGGTTAAATAAGGTTTAACTAGATGGCGCTAATGAACTTGGTGATTTTTTTTTCAACTACATACTTGCAAATACCCTTTAGTAGGATTAAAGTCTATTTCAATAAAAACGAACTCACCTATTAGCTGTTAACGTCGTCATCTCGACGTTACTCGAACACGCTGTTAATATTTCATCACAGCTGCTGCCACCTGTGATGCGTTGTACTGCACTCAGTGAAACATCTTCGCTTGAGTTTTTTCCAGTGTTTGCAACATTGCCGCTAGATGGCACTGTTTTCTGTTTAGCTGCTTGTTTATGTCTGCTGAGCGCAAAAAATAATGCTAACACTGCTTTTAGCTTCGCATCCCGTATGTCAACAGCTGTTACTTGTTCTAATCCTTGGACTTTTTGAGCGTGTAGGAAATCCAAACAGCACTGGACGTTTTCCAACTGTAAAAACCGAAAACGAATGAATAAGTATGGCATTCTGTTAAGTGTTACGCTTACCTTACACCTAAACCATAAACCACTGGGATGAGTATTTGCAGTTTCCGTGGTGAAATTGTATGCACTATACATGTCAACTATAGTAATGTACGAAGAGAATCGAATAACGTTTTGTCGTAGGTACAAAGGAATAGTAAAAATAGCAATTGTTTGAAATGTGTGATTGGGTACTGAAGGTAAGTACATACCTAACTTAACTTTTTGATAATATTTAGCTTTCACATCTATTTACTTCAGATGCAGTTTTTAACAGGTGGGTACTTAACCTAAAATGTACTATTATAAAACCTTGAACTTTAAGGATACCTACCTACTTTTTGTAAGTACTTAATTAACAGGATATATTTATAGCTACATTAAGGGAGCATGTATATACTTTTCCATTTTCTTCTTCGACATATCGTTCATTCATTCGTTCATTTGCGAATTTGCGAGTTATTATACGATTTGCTAGGTAGAGTATAAAATTAACGCTGACAAATCATCAAACAAAAAAATAATTTCCGGAAAAATTACCTGTATGTAGGTAATAATTAAAACAAGTAAAAGTGTTTTTTTTTGTAACGACATTATCAATTGTAAACGTTTCCGGCACATTAAATAGCGTTAAGACAGTAGGAAAAATTTAGCTATAAATATGTTTTTAACAATGTAGCCATATTATTAATAATTGATAACACGAAGCTTTTACGTGTGTTGTTCCTATTGTCATGCGCACGCGTTTCCGATCTTACATGAGGAGCGTGCGCAATGAGTTTATCGGTTTACGGTGGGCCTTGAAATATCAAATAGGTGTTTGGCAGTACGTGCACTTATTTAATGGCTTAATGTCACTTGTCTCAAATATGTTAGGGTTTGAATTTGTGTTTAACTGGACAGAGATGACTCCAGCCACGGTTTAAGTTTTATAATGGAATACTTAGTCTACATTACATTAAGATTGTTTACTAAGCACGAAGTGATAACACTTTCCTCAAAGCTTTTTTGTTGATACCACAGTTTTTTTAGGTGAGAAACCAGTAGGTAACACTAGTTCTTACTTCAGCTGAAATGGGCTCAAGTTTTCTTCTAACTCTTATTGATGGTACACGAACATATTTGCTAAGATATTTTGGGTGATATGTGATAAATAATCGTGCAACCTATCCATGTTTAATATTTTGTTAGTTTTTAGATTTCTTCCTTTGTATAGAAAAAGTGTGAAAACAGTGCATGTTGTATTTGCCTATAAGTATTTGTTACACTTTACTTAATATTATTTGTTCCTGAAATTATGGTAGTATGTAAACGTGTAAACAAATGTTGGCATAAATTTTTGTTGGCAAAGTTGGCACTCATAAATGAATAAATAATAATACTTACAGCATTAAACTGATTATGTAAAAGCTTTAATTCTTAGAATAATTTACGCTCGCTTTTAAATTGCTAATAAGACTTTTATATGGTCCATTTTTTTTTATAATTGCCATTTAAATGTGTTTAATGTAAATCATCGAAATAACCGTTACTCTTACCTTTATAGGAATGTAAAATATGATGATCACACTCTTAACAGATAGTTATCATATCACACGGATAGGTCATATTCTACATTACGAACCTACACGAATACATATAGCTGTATGGGACCTACACCTAGGTCCTTTTCTATGAAATGGCGGTCTGAAGTTAGTTGATAATTAAACAAACTCAGCAATATCACTTATGAGTCACCAACATTGTTTAAAATAAATTAAAAAAAAAATTTGGCTTCCAGAACCAAAGTGTGACCTCAATAGCGCATGTAAAGCAGTTGAGCAGGTACAAGGCATACATCGTGTTGCACGCGTTGCGACATACTGTGGCCGGCGCCGGACCTTAAAAGGCTTGGCTCCTGTGCTCATAGGTCACTGGCATAACCACCACGTCCCGACCGACGAGAACGAGCCACCCCGCGATGAGTAGGACTAACATAAACAAGAACAATTCAGTCTGATCTGTAAAGTTCATTTATCCTCCTGTAGAATGCAATCTCTCTTCAGAACAAAACGACAGCAAATAGTATGAGTAATATCGTTAAAATTAAAATCTTTAAACGAACCTTCAGGTACAATCATTTTAAGCAAAATCCACCGTATAATGAAGTGAAGAGTTTGTTCGTTCGTATGTTTTGTTGAACGCGCTAATCTCTGGAACGTTTGAATGAAATTTATCGAGGAAGTCTATGGGCTATATAACATCGCACTACGAAAAATAGGACCCGATCATCAATGCAAGATGCTGCGAAAACTGCAAAAAATATACCTTTACGTTAGTGTTACTATAATCAATTATATTGTTACTTCCTTTCCCAACTGTGTGTGTGTGTTTCCCAACTTAAGTTTATTATTATATTAGTTTATTCAAATAGCAACAATTATATATCAACGATGTATTATTATTTCTGTGTAAGAACAATGATGCAGAAAAATTTAACAGCAAACAGAGATAATATTAATCCACAATTTAATAGTGAGTAACTGCAGCAAGGAAACTTTTCAGATCAGGTTTAATTTAGCACAAAATGTAAGCACAAATGTCAAAAGTAGTAGGTACTTAAGAATCGGTACAAAATAGTAACTACGAATTAAAAACTCTGTCGTAAAACAGGCAGACGATAGACCTGCTGGACGAATTTCGAAATATTATCATCGATAAAAGTGAAATAAATAGTTTGTAACCAAGCAGACAAGATAAAGATTACGATTTCAAATGTAAGTTTTATTACGTTCATTTTTTTGATAACAAAACCTGGTCACATCGACAATTTCACTAATCAGTAGTGCAGAAGATAAATCACGAATTACGAGTGAGCAATTAGAATATACCTATTCGAGGCTTGACCCCGCGTACCTTAAATACTCAATCGTAAGCCTATCATAGTTTTTTTTTTAGGACAACAGCACTACAAAGAGAAGGAGAACTTGATACAGACCCTATACCAACCCGTCTGGCCAGGGCCTATGGTCAACAGTGGACTATTAAAAGCCGTTGATGATGATTGATTAATTCTATATTAAAGTTGCGCCGCTTATACCGTTTTTACAGTGATAGCACATATTGTGCGTGTGTTTCTTCTGTTGTTATGTATACGTTGCTAATGCTAGTTACACGGTATTGCACCGATAATATGCTGTTCAAATCGTGATTTGAATTTGGGACGTGTCTTTGAATGCTAGGTTAGTCACGTTAAATTGACATTCAATATTACATATTAATTACAAAATTAATATAGGGGTTACGCTGAGATTGAGTAACATAAGTACCTACAATCGCGTGTCATGTAAGTTGGCAACAATCTCGGAAAAAAACTTTAATAGGTTCGGTGTTTTGATTACGTACTGCAATTAGTATCTTTTGTCATGGTCCTTTGGTTATATCTCGCTATATTACTCAGATATAGTTACATATCATGTGGTGTTACAATTAATTACACAAACGTTAGTTACACGCCAATCAATTAATGAAATCACGAAACATTCTATGACCTCTTGAAGCAGAGCTGCAAATATTTATCGGTACTCAATCTGGTTCACTAACAAATTTACGATTAATTATTTCGACAATATAAATAAATAAAAGTGATTAATTTATATTTACAGTTATTATGTATATCATCAAAATTAACAAATACGTTTCTATGTTACAGCCATTTAGAATTGTTTCAAACATACATTTGATTTTCAAAGTAATTGGTGGACGTCTCTGTATTTCGATTTTAAAAATAACTTGTACGACTCAATAACACACTTATTCAATAAATTACACACTATTATATGCTACGTTTCATCAGGTAGGTAGGACTTATGGATGGGTTATGGTTAGGTATTATGGATCTCAAGCAAATTAAAACCCTCATAGTATTTAAATGAATCATCGTCCTTTAATAAAATCGTCTGGATAATTTTAATAAAAATCATTGATAATTATAATATAAACAGGAACTGACTTGTGAAATATATAATCAACCAAATATTTTAAAATATTACCTATCTATTAACGTATATAAAAGCATATCATTCTTTACAATGTCTCATAATACATAAAGTACATTCAGGGATGATCACATGCTGTACAACAGATATTTTGTATCTTTTGTGTGGCCTCTTATCCCGGACAAATGTCGCCCTCCCACGAACCGTTTTCGGCGTGACAAAACATCCGTAAAGAAAAAACGAAGAGTGATGACGTTTCATTTAAAACTGTAACATTTGATTGACGTTAAAATATTATGCGTCAAGTTTTGCAAAGAAGTTATCATACCACCCAGTCATATTTAAATCGTGTGTGAAATAATGAAATACAAAGTACATTCGTTCTTTTGCCGATGTATAAAGTCGGACCGTCGGTCGGGTCCGATCGGAAAATAACTTTTTTTTGTTTTTTTTTTTTTTTAATCTTTATTTGATTCGGGGTTTTGATCCAGTAAGGATATGCCCACCCCATTGTACCTTGATACATGGTAAACACGGAAAATAACTAAACGCATGAACTGTTTGCAATTTTGATGTCAATTAAATGAGTGTTTAGCTTAAGTTAACCTTGGACTTATGAAGTTGGGAATAACCAAGAACAATAATTAAAATGCATAAATTATTATTCGTATTGTCAACTTATAGTAATTCAACTTAAAAGAACAGTTTCTCGGATATCACAATAAGAACCACAAGAACCATTTATGAAGCTATAAAAATTAATAAATTGCAAATAACTACAAGGCAAGATTGAAATTGGCTTACGTAGTACAAAATAGAATGAGAAAATTGTTTCAATTATGTCACACTGTTATTTCAATTAGTTAGGAAGTTGTCGCAGAGGAGCTTGTTGAAGTTATTCAGTGAGACGAACATCGTCATTTCCGCAGTTTAATGATAATATTAATAAATGTAAGAGGAGGATAGTGTTGTTTTTGTTTGACAAGAATGACAATGTGAATGTTTGTTAATGGCAATTTTAGAAAT